CTCTCTCTCTCTCTCTCTCTCTCTCTCTCTCTCTCGCTTGCTCTTTTGTTCTTCACATTGAGATGCAAACTAAGGAAGGAGTGAAAGGAGAAGAACCTACAGTATGCACAAACTGAAGATTGATGGACGGACGATGGATGTGTTGAACTGTTTCCTAGCTCGCCACAAACACAGATATTTGCTTAAAATATGCCATCACGTTCTGAGTAGGAACCAACTGGGAACAGACGTGCATGTGTGTCAGGGTGTTCTCCGAGGTGCTGGACTGTGGGGGAGGGGGGAGTAACCGCCCTTGAGGCATGACTGGTGTGGTAATGGGATTCTGGCCATACCTCGTGATGACGACTTTGCTACGGAGAGCCATCCATCCACATCTTCTGTTGGGGAGAAAGAGAATGGAAGTGTGAGCGGCCGAGCTATGCATTGAGGCAGCATAGATAGTGTATTTATTGACCCGGGTTTATTGGAGAAAACATATCTTCACTTTCTATCCCATGTGTCAGTGACATACAGTTGATAGATATTTAGCCTGAACGTTTTTTTTTAATCTCCAGTAATCATACTCGTCCGGTAGTGCTTGACATTTTATCGAACATAAAGGACATTCCTGACACACTTGTGGAGGCTTCATTTTGTATGGCAAAAAGCCTTGTGTTGTTAAAGGCTCTCTGTACTGAAGAGCCAACGGCAAACATTTGTTTTTGCAGCTCACTGTTCTGTCATTGAGGCATGAGAATTGGGTTTACAGGCAATGTGCTGTAAGCAGAGTCTCTTCTCCAAAAGGATGTCCCGTTACACATGGCAGTTTATTTTTAAGTGGCATTGCTTAGAGAACTGAAATCATTGGCAGAATGAGTGTAATGAATACGAACAAGTGTTGCATATATATTCACTGGTATTTTAGTTTACTCTTAAACTTCCTAACTGTACATCATATTTGAGCAGATACAGCCATAGCATTATCCACTTTCTTATCCTCACAGTAGCTCTAATGTCTAAAATGTCCAAACTGTATACGGCATATTATGCAAATATGATCACCCTACTCTGTAGTTTCACAATCTCAAATGTGGAGATGATGCAGGGCACAGGCGTTGGGCTTTCTGTAACGCAGTCAGTACTTACCTTGCAATGCTGGTGTCTTGGGTTTCCTTCAAAACTGAAATGAGTTTCATGGTTGTTGTTTTTTGAAGAAACTTAAAGGCAGGATGCATTATATCTTTGTATGCTCTTTTTAACTGAGGTTCTTGCAGGTCCGCTCCTCTATAAAAACCCTTCCTTGGTCCATGAAGAATCCTTGAAAAGAAAGCAATTTATATGGGATTATTCATTTATAGAATATTTTGGAGTGAAGTATGCAGAAAGCATTTTCATACACACAGGGTTTTTTTTGTTCAATATGAAGGTTGATATTAGTTTATCTATAAAGCTGAAAAAGCATCTTGTCAGAAAGATGACTTTCAAAAACATAAAGGAGCTTAGGTAAGAGATTTATGTTGATTGAATGTATCATCTTCACTCGGAGAGAAGACCATCAATTCACGATGTTTAATGTCCTGTTTCAAGGATGCTATCAACAGCAGGAAATCAGTGAGTAGTCAAATCCAGATTCCCGGACATCTTAAAGGGGTACAAAGTAAAGGACATTTTCTCAGCAGTTGATTGGCATTAACTCCAGGTTTATTTAATAGCTTGATAATGTTTTGCACGGTATTTACAATGTATTTAATATGTCTAGCTAGGGCTGTGCAATTCATCGTATTTTAATCGCAATTACGATTTTGGCCTGCCACAATTACGAAAACAACATAATCGGAAAAAACAATTATTTTGCTTTGCTACATATTTGATCTAATTAATTTTGGTCTAATGTATTTGTATTTATCATATTTATATATGTTTAGTAGCTTGTGGAAGTGCGCTCCAAAATATTTGTTGATCTTGTTTATTGGTATTTATTATTTTGATATTATTTATTTAAATATAAATGTATCATTTATTTTATTTATTTTTGTATTGGTTTTTCAGTTGAATTATACGTTCAAGGTAATCAACAGTTAAAAAGATACTGTTCAAATTATTATTTGTATTTGTTTTAAAGTTCAATAAATGGATTTTTTCAAAGTCAATGAATAATCGTATTTAATAATCGTGATATCAATTATTGACCCAAATAATCGTGATTATGATTTTTGCCATAATCGCACAGCCCTATGTCTAGCTGTATATGGCTTAACTCAAAATCCAAGATACATCGGAGATCCTTGTGTATTGTACCTCTTTGGAGAGTAAAGTAAGCAGAGAGGTAGTTGCTGGTGTGACCGTAGCCTTTTGAGAGGAATACGTCAAACAGACCCACTCTTACCAATCAAAAACTAAATACAATTAGAAGTTGCAATGACTTCTCGTATTCAATGATTTGAAAGGAAACATTCAAACTTGATTCAAATCTTCAGGAGAGACGGTAGTCATTTAGCACCACTTTTAGTATCTCAAGATGCAGGTTTTATTCTCTGATTACCTTATAAACATTTAAATCAAATTACATTTTCTGATTTAATGTCCTTCTGTCAGTTTTTTCTTATTTAGTCTTTTGTATAACTTTGTTTAGACTCTGGGGCGTATGAATACATTTATCCAATCAAAAGTGATTTGGGACAGGCTTATTGTTGCCTCGTGGGACGATGTTTACATCAACTCAATTATCAGTTTGAAGCTGCTCCGACCGGCCAAAGTCACGCATTATTCATTTAAGGCTTATTTCATTATCCTCCCTGACTCTGTGAACTTCCTCGCCTCCTTCACTGTCTCCTTGCTTTCCTTTGCAGCTGACGTCTCTCCACACTACGTTCACTACGGTTCGGACTTCACCACCACAGCTTGTTCCTTTCTCTGCAGTGCCTTTTATTGATATTCAATGTGCTTTTATTCATACTCCATTTCTGGCTGGTGATGGGTGGATGGATTTTAGATCAATAGTAGCTTTAGGGGTTTTCACTGTAGGGCTGCTGGTCTAACCTTTGGCTGGACTGATTTGTGTCTCTGTGAAGGACTTTTCTACATGTTCTCAGTGTGTGCTTCTTCTTCGTGGATGAACTTTGGTTACCTTTAGGGAAAATGGATACCGAGGAATGCAAACATGGTGAGAGATTTTTCTCCGGCCTTTCTTTTCTCATCTGGTTTCTTCCTATCGTACCTCGTGGTTGGATTATCTATGTTGTTATTTTATAAACTATACACAACATCTGTGCACTTCTCTTTGTCCTGGGAGAGGCAGCCCTCCTTTGTTGCTCTCCCTGAGGTTTCTTCTATTTTTCCCAGCATTAATTGTGGTAATATATATCAATATATACGGGTTTCTATGGAAATATTCTTGTGTACTATGAAGATCTAAGGACAGAGGGTGTTCTGTTAATACCCCTGAGAAATATGTGATGTTTGGCTAGATAAATTACATTTAATCGATCGATTGATTGATTGATTCGATTTCCGTAAAGATAAAATGGATTTGCATTGTACACTTTGAACCACAACAAGTTTTCACATTGTTGGCTCAGATTTTCAAAGGTACCTCCCCCATTGGTTACTAACTCACAATATTTGTAATTGATTTATTTGTCAAATGAATTGATTCTGTATGCTTATGATATCATGAAAGGTGTATTTCTATATTACACAGTAAATATAACATTGCCAATTTATTCCTTTTAATTCCCATGGAAAGTTTTCACCTTGAATATTAATATTCTGGACCAAACTATTGAACTAACTGATCATCGGGCTGTCGTTTTTGTCATGCCACTAGGAACGAAATGTTTTTTACTCTTTAAAATGTATATCAGTTCTGGCCTAAAAATGAAGTGTCTGTCATAGGCTCTTAAATTGATGCTGTTACGGTTGCCATGACTAGTGAGTCAACAAATATCGCAGACAGCAACTTTTGCTGCATTGTATTAGACAAAAAATCATTACAAATATTTTAATTGGAGCATTTTCTGGATGTCTAAAGCACCAGCGCTTATTAATGATGAATCCACCGCGGAGACGTCTCAGTGCTGCGTGTTCCTCAGTAGAGCTTGACATTCGACTGGCCGAAGGTCTCGGTCGAATTTAAACCCAGTTGCTGTTACATAATGTAGTCCTGAGACTGCCAGGCACTCAACTTCCCCCCCGAGGAGATCCATGTTTCACTGCCATGGTTTAAATAGGCTTGACAGCGCTGAAGTCTCCTCCTCTGCGAGGTCACAGCTAGCTGCCATGTTCTCAGGAGAAAGTGTTGCTGCAGTGCTGCCGAAAACTGTGACAGTTTCCCCTATCTGCGACATAACAGACCTTTTGAAATTGACAAAGCGTACTCTTTAAGTTGGAGTGCAGATGACAGCAGAACAGCGCTGTCTAGACATTAAAGGGCCGGCAGGGCGACGAGAGGGTGGAGAGACTCTATCTCTACACTCAAACCTTTACAAACATGTTACCAGGGTCCTCCTTGTCCTCATTTTCAGTATTTCTCTCCTGCTCCTGTTATTTTTTGCAGAAACACAAAAAACAGTTGCTTTGGGAAATATTCTTCTCTTTAAATATGGATTTTATTTGAGGTCTGACATTTTTTCTTGCATCACAGCAGCTCCATTCACAACATCAATAAGGACACATTTTAAGACACACGATACATTGAAACACACTTTTTATATAACATTGCAATCACTGAAGACAATATGTTCAAGACCTTTAACTAATATTTGACCTGGGTATTAACTCTTTACTAAATGTTCAATTTTAAGTCTATAGCGAGTTAAGTAACTAAGGTTTGTCAGGATATGGACATGTGTATTTGCTCTATGTATTTCATCAGCTGGACAGTAAGAAATGCTTTCTAAGGCAAACCTTCTTTTACATAGTCCTTGTCAACCTCTTTTTTTACGATCGGTGTACCCACCAGTCCTAATAATCCTCTCTTGTTCAAGATGGTGTATATGTGACCTCTGACCTCTCCTCTCCAGATGACTCGGGGGACGAGGAGCCCACGTCCCAGTCGGACCGCAGCGAGCTCCAGGGCACCCTGAAGATCCTGGTCAGCAAGCTCGATGACCTCAGCACGTGTAATGACCTGATCGCCAAGCACGGGGCGGCCCTGCAGCGCTCGCTCAGTGAACTCGAGGGGCTGAAAGTGCCCGTGGAGGGGGGGGAGAAGATCAAAGCAGTCAACGAGCGAGCCACCCTCTTCCGCATCACTTCCAATGCTATGATCAATGTAAGTAGCCGGGACCGAGCAGTGTCCGAGTCCTGCGCGCTTTGGCATGATCAGTGTGACGGCAACGCCAGCCATCTCTAGTGCCCTGGTTAGTGCATGATGAGAGATGAGATGACTTTACAGTGTGAGATTTTAAACGAGAGCAGCGAGGCATGGAGACCCCAGCCTTAAATAAGCAGTTCTGGACTTTGCCAGATCCTGTCCTCTCCCTTCGCAGTAAGTGCTAAAAATACTATTTCTGACCCCAGATACAAACTCTCTCTGTGGTTTACAGAGGGTTTTTGCATGGCTGGATAATTGGAATAAATATCCGATGATCACAATGTTTCAATACGGATATATGTCAGATTAAATGTGCAAAAACGAATTTATGCCCCCACTTTACACTCTTTGTCCAATTTGGCGTCACAATACTTTACAGGTGTGTAATTAAGATGAATAGGAACGTTTCACTGTAGCCCTGATCTGATTTAGATTTGTCCCATTGATAAAAGGTCTTTAAGTAATGTATAAGCACAGTATAATTCAACAGTACCTCAAACATCAATCAATACACCCTAAAGGTGCTTTTAAACTTACTTAAACACAAATATTTCTTAATTTGTGTCCAAAAATTATAGTAATAAAAATAAGCTTGGAGAAAAGCCCAAAGTTTAAAACAGTACAATTGATTGAAGATATTTCAAAATCACACTTCCTCAGTGCTTGACAACGTGTACAGCGTTTGTAAAAATCTACGCCTATCTATTACATTCAGAAATAAAGGCACCCGTCCAAAACACCTCTATAAATAATCTCTCATCCAAAATAACATATTGCAGTTAAGTTGAACAATATCAGCTTCATTTCACACGTAACACACACTACCAAATATGAAGTCTCTACTACGTATATGATCAGCAGCACGTTCTCTACTGTTTCTGCTGCTGGTCCATTCTCCTCTCTGGTAAATACCATGGGCTTCACACTTAGTAGTGGACGAGAGTTCAGGGAGTGTTGAGGTGCATAGGATACTGGATATGATGGTGGGTGGGTGGAAGGGGGGACAGGAATAGCCCTTACTCTCCCCCTCAAAACCTCCACACCCCCCCCCCCCCCTGCCTGGTGAGGACAGTCAGAGGCTTCTGGACTACAGACAGACAGACAGACAGACCTGCTCTGAAAACCAGACAATCGCACAAGGTTTGTCTTTCCTTCTGCTTCTCTCAATGGCTTTGCTGCTAGCGTTGTTTCTTCTCGTGTTTAATGAGGCTTTAATGCATACTCACTGTTAAATGTCTGGCTGTTAGGTCAGATTCAGTCATGGTTTGGATTCTGAATCAAGCATTAGGTTGGGATCAGGCAATAGCAAATGATAACTCTTCAATCTTGACATTTGTACTCAAACAGTTTGTTAGGAAACTTGAGATCGAAAAAACGGAGAATCTAAATTGTACTTTTTATGTGAAAGGTCTTTGCTAAAAAATAATGAGCTCCCTGTTTCTCTCTGTCATCCATTTTCTTTATTAATTGGTACAGGAAATTGAGACTTACTGGACAAGCAATAAAAAAAGACTCTTGGTTTGCCGAACTCATTAAAATGCCATCAGTATTGCAAAGAACACTTCTAATGAGAAAAAGGTGCTGCCCATACTCCCTGTAGCGATGTTTGGGCTTGTAAATGACTCTTTAAGCAGGAGGCAGTGCAGGGTAAGGGTTTTTGGATTTCTGCACCCATGTTTTTAGCAATTTTAGGCATTTTCTTGAAAGTAAGGGTTGTGGTTTCCCAAAGAAATTGGGTTAGGAGGAGTGGTTGAGGGAAGAAGGAGGTCATAGCGATAAGACACGGCATGTTCTCTGTGATCTGACCCTCATTTAGTTCATTTAGCGGTGATGTGTAACTCGCCATGTGTGACATTGAATCCAGGCTTTTGCCGTGTGTGTGTGTGCCTTTATCACACCTACCTATTACTCAAGTTCATTGTACTCTTGTCTACGTCACTCATTCAGGACTTCCCAATCTGACACTGAGATCTGTTGATGCCACCGTAAGCCCTTTTCCACGCCCATTCTATTTTGGCCTTTGTCTTGTCTTCCCCCCCCCAACGGAAGTCACATGCAGTCTCTGTTTCAACCTGAGACTCAGCATTCATTAAAAAAGGAACTATCGTACTTTTACGTCAGTGTTGAGTTTCATATCGTGTTTAACTCTGAGGAAGTGGACCACAATGTCACGTGCACTTCTTACATTTAAACTGAGGCCCAGACAATTATGTTCATTCAGGACTGCTGGAGGTAAGACTTATGGATGATCGGAAGTGGTGGGATTTCAATTGATTGTTTGAGGAAAAGTTATGTTCTAATTTTCGAAAGCCACTAAAATGTAACTTTTGTAAAGAGTAGGTATGTTTGTCATTTCAGTATTCTAAACATATAATGAAATTACAACATTAAATTAAATTAGACTTAATAAAATGTCTGAGATTAGTCACTTTAAGTCGCAACAAGATACATTTTTTTACCTTTAGAGTTAAGTAATACATTACAAACTAGTTATAAAAGAGTATTGCTGGAGGACACATTTGTTTTTGGTTTGGGATGTAGCTAAATAGATATACAATTATTATAAAATGATAAACATAACACTTACTCTCTGTGAAGGATCAGAAAACTCAGATCATAGCAACATGTAGGGCATGACATAATGATGATATTGTAAAAGTAATACATACAGTAGTTCATCTTAAATTGTAGTTTTACCAATCAAGTGGTATTTATTGGATTTGTTCCTGATTGCTCCTCTCTCTGCGTTGGCCAAGTGTGCGTCAATGTCAGTGTGTTCAAGACAGCAAGACAACTTCAAATGATTATACTACTGTATGTCAAATGACAAAAGAAAGTCCAATAATAATAATAAGAATTTAATATGGGGAAATTGTACAGCAATATCTTTTGTTGAATTAGGTTGCTAAGGAAGATTAAAGACCTGAAATTACACATAATGAATGTATTTAAAAATATAACATATTTTCAAACTTCTTCAAAAAGTGACAACAGCAGTGTATCATTGTTATATTCTGATTGTGTGTGAGATAGATATGCTTCATTTGAACAATGGCTGAAAGCACTTTTAGACAGATTAACACTCCGCTGTCTGGAGACAAATCAACAATCAAGAGTTCAGTGTTAGCAGATCCTTGTTTTTCTTCCTGCTGCCTCAAAGTGATACTGCGCTCTCACCTTCCAGCTAACACAGATTACTTTTGAGACACATCCGTCCCTCCAGCTCGCTGCCCGCAGTCCAAACTTTTATCTAAAAGGCTCGGGGACCAAAGAGACATGTCCTGCACTGAGTGGAACAAATGTTATCACGTGCTGCTGGGAAGAACAATGAGAACAATGACAATGCAACACAAATGCTTGATTGCAATAAAGCAGTTTCCAAGAGATTATTCAGAAACAATGCTGACAGCTCAATGACTGTCACATGACAATTTCATCCAGCGTGTTGTCAGCTGTGAGGTGTTATGTAGGTTCATTGACCTTCGAGCCCACTGCGATGCGAGGCTGTCAGACAAACGCTGACATGCAAAATATGTCTGATCTGAAGTAACCTCTCGGCAGTGAAAGCGAGGCAGCAACAATGATGTCCCCACTAGACTTAAATATAGACTGCTACTCAATCAGAGGTTTAACCTTAGCTCTTCATTCACTGATATTAATCATGTTAACACTTTTATTCAGAGATACATTTCACACAGCAGGGAGCAGACGGATGATTAACATATTGATGATTGCTCCAAACAATGGTGATAAATAACCTTGATTACAGTTATTGGCAAGAATGTCTTTTCATCTTTTTCGATACCACTCTTCTCTCTCTCTGTTGTACGCTGTCAGGAAAAAAGTGATCAAATATTGTATCATTATAGTATAAATAGTAAGTTAGCATTAAGAGGTAAATGTTGATTGAAAGAGGGAATGGCTTTAGATTTGGCCGGTAAATAATTGGATGTGTATCGTGTAAGTAGACTTGGAAATACTTGAGGGAAGTTGAAAAAATGTCTGTCTCTACTTTAGATGCACAAATCTGACCTGTAAGTCATTTTAAGTGGAAAGCCACTCGCACATGGTTGAGAATTAAGAATATAAAAAAAATGTAATCCGAATGTAATTTGTTATTTTTAGATTGTATTTTATAGAAACTAAACGTTCGGTGCTGTCTTGTGTGTTTGTGTTCCCCCAGGCGTGTCGAGACTTCTTGGACCTCGCAGAGACTCACAGTCGGAGATGGCAGCGCGCGCTGCAGTATGAGCGGGAGCAGCGGACCCACCTAGAGGAGACCATTGAGCAGCTAGCCAAGCAGCACAACAGCCTGGAGCGGGCGTGGAGAGAAGCCCCCACGCTGGTCTCCACCACACCCAGCGCCCCCACCGCCAACAAGGGTAAGATGGACTGTTAGTTACTCCCGTGGGCCTCCATGTAGACTGGCTTAAAGTCATGTGGGACCTCAGGCTAGATACAGTACTCATTCTGAGGAAGGATATTTAAAGTTGTGTCAGAAGGTTTGGATTTTCTCCAATTTAGAGATTGTAATTACCTTTACCAACGACTGTATGTCATGTGCACTCTTCTGTTAATCTGTCCATCCAATTATTTATTATGTGGAAAACAGACGCCTCGGCTGGAAACACATTTGTTGTGTACATCATGCAACAGGAAGAAACCTATTGATTTTAGCGACCTCATGACCTAACCCTACTGAAAAATGACAACACAACTCAATAGCAAAACAGGAACTGGTGTAACTTAATAAAAGCTGAGCATTAAGTAACAGGAAAGAAGAATTTATTGATGGATAGGTGTACTAGTGACGGTCTAAGAAACTGGACAAGCAGGCTTCCCGCTCAGCATCTTGAGCCTAATCAATGGGGAGCCTGATTGTCCAGTTTCTTAGACCGTCACTAGTACACCTATCCATCAATCATTTCTTCTTTCGCTGCTTCGTGTACAGCCAGGGACCGTTGATGCATCTCTCTTTACCTTCAATCACTGTCACTGCTAACTGTATTAAATCCTGAACCCCCCCCCCCCCCCCCCCCCCCCCCCCCAAACAAAACAGGAAAAAATGTTCAAGTTTCTTCTCTTACCACCAATCAAAGTTTCTATTACCATGAAGGCAATCTTTACTTAACAGTCAACAAGTTGTTAAAAGTAGCTTTTACTGGTTTTGCCCTCAACCATAGAGGAAAAACATCGTACAAATGTGGGATTTGGAAGGTGCTGAAAAAAAAACGGTTGTTGTTTTTTTAAATATCTGGATATTAAAGGTGGGGTAGGTCATTTTGGAGAAACCAGCTCGAGTGCGCTAAAATTTGAAAATACACAGCCGGAAAAAATCTGCCACTTCCTTACAGAGCCCCTCCTCCAACACACACGAACGCGCACATGACCAATGAGGGCACGAGATAAGTTTGTGCACAGATGGAAGGCTGACAGGCAGGTAGGCCATCCAGTCATTTTAGCCGGGCCGGCTAAAATGATTGGTCGTGCTTTTTACAGTACTACGGCTTCCACAGATGAAATTCTTTATGGATTTTTTGTCAAAGCACTTAAGATATTCATTGCTATCGGGATGTTAAGAGCATTCCATGGAATATAACAAAAAGTGTATCTCGAGCCGGTTTCTCAAACGTACCTACCCCACCTTTAAGTATTCTGTCATTTATACACAGCAATGCTGGCTGTTAAGGTAAGCTTATTTCGAGACAGCACACATCATAACTCATTTTGTGTGTTATGCATGCACCTTGATAAATAGTCTTAAATAGAAGCTGGTTTTAAAAGAGTAAGGTGAAAAGCTACTATTTCCTGAAAGTACAGTCACCTGATCTGACTTGTGTTTTACTCACTGAACATGGTCGTTTATCCTTAATTATTTTACTTTCATTAGAAAGTACTCTTATTGAATGTTGGATACTGAACATCCTGAGGAGTTTGCATCCTTCAAGCTATAACCAGTGGGAACATTGCCAATTTAACTAAGCTGATTATTCCGTGATTAACGGCCATGGGTACGTGATTACACGCCGCTCTCCTCTGAATTCTGTAGGATACAAACTCACCACCATGTGACGGCTCTGCTAGTTTTGGATGCTGTTTCCGTTTACTCACAAAGGTATATGTGTTGACAGGAGGGAGTGAGAGGCTGCGCAAAGAAGAGGCGAGTGATGAAGATGGGGATACTGAGTACTTTGACGCCATGGAGGATTCCCCTGCATTCATCACAGTGACTGCCACTGAGAACGCACAGCACAGGTCCGTCACACACAGAGATCCAATATTTCTTTTTTTTCAAAGACAGATAAAGGGATGAGAGTTGAGTTTTAACATTTAGTCTTTTAATAAAACATTCTTTGGATGCTCTAATTTGTCATAATAGTGAATTTGACAGGCTGACAGCTGAACAAGCCACTGAGGATCAAAGTGAAAACAAACAAGTGTTGTGCCCTTCACTTTTTAGTTATACAGAGAACACCCGTCTACAGTAGCAATGCATTGTTTTCAGCATTGAAGCCGGTCTCTTACTGACAATTACGATTGTTTTTGCAGAACTTGTGCGTTCACTGTTTCTTTAAAAAGTACTTTTAGTGTTATCTTCTTGTTATTGTTATGACTCATCTCTGCAACATATCCGATAACTCTTGTAGCACCATTAAGAATGATGGAAACAGTTACACAGCATTCCTCTGTCATACGCAGTAAGGTGGTTGCTCCCCTTGAAAGTATTTGTATTGTGCTCATTATAGAAAATATTTTCATTTCAGGCGATCTCAGAGTAATTTGAGTGGAGCGAGCGGAGGTCAGCCCAACGACTGGAACCAGGACGACAACGTAAGTGTCTCTCTAGATAGTCTGCCTGCAGGACTGATAATTGTAGCCACATATTTGCCGAGCTTAGTTTTCTCAGTTTAGATTCATGTATGCTGCTGAACAGCTCGCAGCTCATCAATTTATTAATATATCCTTCTTCCCTCATATAGTCCCTCTTTCCTATCTTGCAGTCATTTATACTCACACACACAGCCTTTATCTTTGTGTTGCCAAAGATAGACAGCTGCTTCATAGCACTAAATATTAATTACCAGTCAAACATCTGCACTTCTCTCCCCCACAACTCTCCCTTGCTTCTTCCTCTCTCCAACCCATCTGTGTCCTCTGTTCGCTCTCCTCCGTTTCTCCCTCGCTCTCTCTGTAACTCAATCTCAACTTGTTCTGCCAAGCTGACCATGAAGCTTGTAGTATTTCTTAAACTCTTATATATATATATATATATTATTCCTTTCAATCATAGTTCAAAAAAGACCACCTCCTTATTCTCAACCCTTTCCCTTTTCCATGTAATCTCAGATGTCTCCAGGTCATAATGATGTGTCGGGGAAGGAGCTGCAGCCCTGCAGACAGAGGAGGACTCGAGTCCCAGACAAGCCCAACTACTCCCTCAATTTGTGGAGCATCATGAAGAACTGCATCGGCAAGGAGCTCTCCAAGATCCCCATGCCTGTAAGTAGGATCCTCCTAACACTGAAGTTTAAACTAGCCAAGTAATCTTAAATTAAGAAAACACTCATTTGAGCACAATGTAATGAGGTAAACATTGTCCAAGAAGGCCCTCTGAATTCCTGGTAATGTTAATAATTATTGCTAGTTTTTATAAGGCATCATTTTACTAGGAATGCATAACATTTCAATGCTTTAAATTACTAATACATATTTGTTTTAATAAAACATTATAATAATATTAACAATGAGTTTTACCAGCTAATATTTCTGCTGTTGCCGAGTGAGGGTATCAACATTTTATCGACTATTGCATGAGGCTTCATCTTTTTGTCCCTCTCACTCAGGTGAACTTCAACGAGCCTCTGTCCATGCTGCAGCGTCTCTCCGAGGACCTGGAGTATCACGAGCTTCTGGACAAGGCGGCGCGCTGCGACTCGTCCCTGGAGCAGATGTGCCTCGTCGCTGCCTTCTCCGTGTCGTCCTACTCCACCACGATCCACCGGACAGCAAAGCCCTTCAACCCCCTCCTGGGCGAGACCTACGAACTCGATCGACGGGAGGAGTTCGGCTATCGCTCGCTGTGTGAGCAGGTAGGGGCATGGCAGCAGGGAGTTTATGCTTTCACACAATGCACACAACGTCTACGCAAAATAGTCTAGTGGCCTCTAGTTGGTTTTGGGTGTTATTGAGGATGCTGGATGCATTTCTGACATTACAGGACCCAAAATGGCGGTTTTCACCAGTAGCGTGCCACATTTGTAATCCCTGTGGGCTGATTTTGATGAATTTTGGATTGGTTTTGAAGTTATAGGGGACTCTGGATCATCTGGATAGGACAAATTGCTAATATATTTGAAAATAAATTGTCCACAGAAGAGGTAATCATTTTCATATTGTGCTCTCTATATCTAATTGTCGCAACACTACTCATACAGTAGTAGTCAAAATCAGCCCACCAAGAATACAAATATGGCCACTTTCTGGTTTAAACTGCCATATTTGGATCCTGAAAATGTCTCATCCTCAATAACTACCAAACCACTTAAACATTGTATAAATCGGCCAAGCAATTTGTATCAACTAGGATATGCTAATTATTGCTGATTGATGCAATTTATCCTAATTATGCAAATTACCCAACATACGCAAGTAAGAATCCGGCTGTTTCTATGTGCTGGGTACCCATACTATACGTTTCTCACATAAAACTGGCAACTATACTAAGGCTGTGTGCTGCTCATATCAATATACTTTACCTTCATGTGTGTCTATCCTCTAAGGTGAGCCATCACCCCCCTGCAGCTGCTCATCATGTGATTTCCCAACGAGGCTGGACCCTGTGGCAGGAAATCACCATCGCCAGCAAGTTCCGTGGCAAATACCTCTCCATAATGCCTCTGGGTAAGACATGTTGGACTCAGCGGAGAAGCCGACAGACTGTATGTGTAAATAAAGGTTCCTTTATGCAAATGTAACAGCGGGGACTACGAGGCAGACTTTGCTTAAGAAGGACTCCACAACCCACTTGAGAGTTGTGCTGTCTTCCACACACTATGAAGCCAGATGAAAGGGTGTGAGAATGAATCAGGAGGGTTTTATGACCCTTCTGACACATACATAAAGTATGGGTATAAAGGGAGCTCAGCACTGGGGCAGCAGAGAGCAGGGGGTCTGTTGGCTCAGATTGATGGCAGGTTTGATAGATGCAGGTCCAGCCGGTGGGATCCATCCGCCCTCTCCCCCTTCTTGTTATATGCCTGCTGTGAGGTGCCATGTTATAGAAACTCTTAAGTGGAAAGCGTTTATGGTGAAACGCATGTTATAAATCTTTCAGCCTTAGACCACACTGGAAATAGATGGACACGTATTGCCTGTACACAAATGTGTTAGATGATGTGTGATGAAACCATTTTAACACCACCACAACAGAACTAACACATCACTATTCAGCATTGCACATTGAGAACAAAGCAGCTGTGATATGTGTTCTCTCTTTTGTCCTTGTCCCCTCCCCAGGTGCCATTCACCTGCACTTCCACTCCAGCGGGAACCACTACGTGTGGAGAAAGGTCACCTCCACAGTTCACAACATCATTGTGGGCAAGCTGTGGATCGACCAGGTCTGTTATCTGTTGTGTTGCTGTCTCTTATTGGTAGCCATTATTCCACAGCTGTAAACCCACAGCCTTAATGCCTCTGATTAGCCTCCTGTGTTAAAGCAGTGTGCTGTGAATATGAGAGTAAAAGCTCAGCACATGAATAAGGAGCTTCAACATCTCTCGGGATTTGTGTTCAGCTTTGATCTCTAAAAACACACTCAAATAATAGCCTATATTTTCTTTGCGTTGCCCCAGTTATATAGGGGGAGGTGCTTCACATCCGTGTGCTGGAACTATTGTTTAGAAGTATTTTTTCTTGTTTTCTTTTTTCCTGTCAACGTGTGCTGTGTGTCATATGTGTATGTTTGTGTGTAGCCTTGTAAGAAAAATATGGAATACATTCAAAGGAGCCCTAGTATGCTAATTTCCAGGTTGTTATTTATAGTATGTGTCTCTACTGGGACATATCTCCATGCTTTCATCTTTCAAAAGGCTCTTTATTTTTCTCATACTGCCTGTGCCGCAGCACCTCTTTTCACCCTCTGTCTGAAACCAGAGCCCAGTCTGCTCTGATTGGTTAGCTGGCCGGCTCTGTTGTGATTGTTTAACTGCTTAGAGATGTCCCGCCCCATAGCCAATCACTATCACTGATACCTTGCAAACAATATGGGGACCTCATCAAAACATTGCTCTATAAAATTAAAAAATGTCTTTACATACTATATATGAATGAAATCAAAGAGTGCTGTAATCGGTCAGAATTATTTTCTGTTAATAGCGTAGATACGCTATCATTCTCTGTGTGTGTTTATCTCTCTCACTCTGTGTGTGTGTGTGTGTTTGCAGTCGGGGGACATTGAGATTGTGAATCAAAGAACCAAGGAGACCTGTCAGCTCAAGTTCTCTCCCTACAGTTATTTCTCCAGGGACGTTCCACGGAAGGTAAATGCATCCTTTCCTCACTTATATACCCGACCTTGGCATGACGTCATATTACGAGGGGTTCATTTGTCGGATGCTGCCTCCTGCTGGACAGTACCGTCAAATATATATGTACTTACAATAGTGTAATATATGAGGAGCTCGCAGTATTAGGTCACATTGCAGCAAGGTAACCTCCTTTTTGAATTATTTAAAATGGAGCACAATCCTGTCTTATTTGGTAGTGACTGATAATGTCATGCAAATGTACTGGTGTCCTCCCAAGGGGATTGTTAAGTGCCTATCGTTAGGAGTAAAGGACATGGTGATACAGTTTGACTCCCAGAAAGAAAGCCTGCTTTAGTTTTCCCTTTAGTCATTGTTCTTATTTCCCTTTGCTCTTTCCAGGTTTCAGGTGTAGTGGCAGACAGTGGGGGCCAGGCGCACTACGTCCTGTCCGGTACGTGGGATGATAAAATTGAGAGTGCCAAGATCCTTCAGAGCAGCCGAGGGGGCAGTGGCTCTGAGGGCAAACAGAAGACCGTCTATCAGACGCTGTCCCCCAAGCTGCTGTGGAAGAAATACCCTTTACCGTAAGTCTCATCGGCCTCGTCATGAGGCAGAACATTGCAAGACCTTTGTTTGTAAATATCATTGATTGTCCAGCATGATACTGTGTAACTCCCATTCATGTCCTCTTGCTCTCTCAGGGAGAATGCGGAGAACATGTACTTCTTCTCAGCGCTGGCACTGACCCTGAACGAGCAGGAGGACGCAGTGGGAGTCACCGACAGCCGCCTGAGGCCGGACCAGCGGCTGATGGAGGACGGCCGGTGGGACGAAGCAAACTCAGAGAAACAGAGGCTGGAGGAGAAACAGAGAGCCGTGAGGAGGAGGAGGGAAGCGGACGCCTCAGACGCTCTGGATGAAGGTATGAAAAGGAGAACAGAACGTGTGGCGTGTGATATGTGATACAGAGCAAAGAAGTGCTAATCAAATAACTTGGATTAGCGGGCAGTGGGAGGTTTTTTAGGTTCCAGGAGTAAAAGTGCCTTTCATTTCCTGCATAGCGGCAAAATGATCAGTTCAAAGAAATGTCTTCGTCGTCCTTCTATTGCCATTAAGTTTCACATATTCATGTACATCCGAATGATGTTGTATTTTACATTTGAGGCTGTTTAAAGCTGCATATCCATAACGTGTAGTGTATATCAGGACAATAATGACTGGGACAAACAGCCAAGACCCACTTCAAACTAAAGCATTACATTAAATGAATAATATGTAGAAGCTGTTATAAAAATAATAAGTTATTTATGTGGGATCATTTCTTACGGTCTACCAATCTTAGTCGTAGTAGTATTTACGCAGAGAACTTATCATTTTGTGTGTGTGTGTGTGTGTGTGTGTGTGTGTGTGTGTGTGTGTGTGTGTGTGTGTGTGTGTGTGTGTGTGTGTGTGTGTGTGTGTGTGTGTGTGTGTGTGTGTGTGTGTGTGTGTGTGTGTGTGTGTGTGTGTGTGTGTGTGTGTGTGTGTGTGTGTGTGTGTGTGTGTGTGTGTGTGTGTGTGTGTGTGTGTGTGGATTGTATTTGATGTACCCATGACGTGTCTTTCTTTTCCTCCCTCTATTGATGGTCAGAGTGTGAATATGACTCTGGTGAGTGGAGGTTGCCCTGTGCCCCTCTGTTGTTCATATATATATACACACACACACACACACACACACACACCATCCTTAAGTGTGTCCTCTGTGTGGGAACTGCATGATACCCCTCTCATGTCAACTTCTCCAGATAATGACTCGGGAGAAAAATGACTTTTTCCTGCATACATGTGACATTTTCATTTAGAAATAATAAGATACATAAAATAACAGAAACAACTCTAAAATCTGTAAGTATTCTTAATGGTGAAGCCACATTAGCGAGTGATTCGTTTGAACGGCATCATCTTTATCCTGTCTATTTGAATGCTTATGGGCACTTTTCTGCTAAACTGATGCTTTGTTCATCTGAGTGAAATCTACATTGTGTATTTATAAAGGGAAACACAACATGAGCTGTTTGCTGTGCTGCAATCTCTCCCTCTTTTGACGTGGTTTCTGTATCAAGAAACAAACTGATTATTTAGTTAAAGGTGGGGTAGGTAAGTTTGAGAAACCGGCTCGAGATACAGTTTTTGTTATATTCCATGGAATGCTCTTAACATCCCGATAGCAATGAATATCTTAAGTGCTTTGACAAAAAATCTGTAAATAAAAGTCATCTGTGGAAGCCGTAGTACTGTAAAAAGTACGACCAATCATTTTAGCCGGCCCGGCTAAAATAACTGGATGGCCTACCTGCCTGTCAGCCTTCCATCTGTGCACAAACTTATCTCGTGCCCTCATTGGTCATGTGCGCGTTCGTGTGTGTTTGAGGAGGGGCTCTGTAAGGAAGTGGCAGATCTTTTTCCGGCTGTGTATTTTCAAATTCTAGCGCACTCGAGCCGGTTTCTCCAAAATGACCTACCCCACCTTTAAGGGAGTTCCAAAACTATGGTTAAAATGTTCACCTTTACTTGAATTGAACCAGGGTTAGGGTTAGGGTTTGATCTAACTCAAATGCACAGCCATCAATTGCTCTCCCTGTAGATGCATATATGTATGAAGGCAAATTGCTCGCTCAGTGAATCTCCTGCAACTGTGGCTTCTCCATTAGGGTGCGATGTTAATGACAGCGATTGGGTAACACCTGTGCTTCTTCCACAGGAAAAGAATACGAAGGCTACCAGCCGCTGTGGTTTCACCAGAGGAGGGACTCAGTCACCGGAGAGACAAACTTTGTGTACAAGGGAGGTTACTGGGAGGCAAAGGAAAGACAGGACTGGAGCATGTGTTCTAACATCTTCTAACCCAGGAGCTCACCTCTCCTATCCTCAGCACACAGGGGGAAACTCTGCCTCTGGTCCGTAGCTGGCTTATGAGCACCATGTGGACCTTTTTAGTGAGCATGAGAATACCTCCAAATGTACACTGTTTTTACTACGGGGAAAAGAAGGGTTGTTCCCTGAATCTGTGACACTATGCTGAAGCAGCAGAGAGATGGTGTGTGGGTGTGAGGTGGTGTTGGAGTGTTAACACCACGAAACAAATGCACCTGCACTCTCCTGAAATCAGGTGTTCCATAAATCTTACTCACAATGTACTCTCCTGTGTTCACCACATTTAAGAGATTTGACCAGTTGGCCAGATATCAAAGAAGCTCAAGATAATAGACTACTGACGGGGACAAATGTATAAATGGGCCGATACAAACAGTGTTGAATACACGTAATGTGTCCTGGTCCTCCGTTTCATTCAGCACAATTAAGATTATACCGGAATAAATATTTAATGACTTCCCTCTTTTTCTTCACAGGATTGATTGAAGTGCTCATTATTTGCCTCTTTTAGTTGCTTAGGAAAGATGCTAAGACCGTCTAAAACTATAAGTGTATTAGATATTGTTATCAATTATGCAGACACAAAGTGTTCAAAAGTAATTAAACAAATAAAAAAAATACAGACAAAAAAGGAACCTAAGCAAGACCTTGTGAAGTAATGCAAGCATTTGTATACACAGCTCTGTAAACAATATGTTGTTTCATCCTGCAATCGTTTGTGGAGTGTTATCATATATAGTTATTATGACATTGTATTATTCCTTTTAAAAGTGCTTGTAAAACAGTCACTGATAAAAGTGACATTGTAATACTAATACAGATTTTGGAAAAGGATATTGTGAAAAAAGAATACTTGATCGCAATTAACTCGATGAAATGATATATCATAAAAACGACGTGTTATTTAAATGTAATGGGTTACTTCACAACTGTACGGCTTTATTACATTTTGTATCTGTATTTACTAATGTGATTGTTTACTCCATAATGTCTTGTTTATTTATTAGATGGTTAACACTTTGGGTCTCCATAACCAACCGGTAATATTTGATTAGGGTTGTCTGAAGTGATGAATAATGCAGCACTGCGTAAAAAAATGAATGTTTTCCTCCAGTAATTACAGTCTGTAAACTAGTCAAAAAGACTAGAGTCCATGTAGAATACTAATTCCTTTCATATGACATGCGTCACACATCTTCGATCTGTATTTCTGATGAACAAAGTCCCTGCAGCGGTGCATCCTTTGTAGCACATCCATACCGAACATCCATATCACCTTAATATCTCCATCAAAGAACTGAATAAGCACTCACCACTGTGGTAGATCATAGGTACATATCTCTGTGTTGCTAATGAGAACATTCACTCTGTACTTTACCTTGTCCTCTGGTGCTCTCCCATAGCAACACATACCGTATCCTTGGTGAACATTTTCAGTGACTTAATTCTCAGTGGTCATTCAAACTACACACACCAAAGCACTGAGACCCCCGGTGATCACCACACAGTGCAAACAGGGAGTGTGTGAGGCTCTACGCCAGGGGTGTCCAAACTACGGCCCGCGGACCATTTTGAATCGGCCCTCAGCAAATTCAAAAAGTATAATGGGATATGGCCCACAAATGAAACTTGTGCTTCTCTTATATTGTACTTCTTAAATATAAATGTAACAATATATGACACAGTAGTATTCATGTGTTAAGACCACCTTTCAAATAAATGTTATCAATTAAAGTTGGAAACATTTTCTAACATATCTTAGTTGAAAAGCCCAATGACTTATTTATATAACAAGCTTGAAATACACCCTTCCTATTTCTCCTTATTATAATCAATCTGAGCTTCTGTTTGAAGGGATGAGCTGCTAACACTCACAAGCATCATTTACCTACATTTGATTGATTTTGCTGACTTATAAATGAACTTATGAGGCAATATACCTCTAGTGAGTGGCCCTTGGTGAAAAAAGTTTGGACACCCCTGCTCTACGCCAGAACCAGAGACTAGAGCGGCTTCTCTGAGGCTCCAGAGGTCAGCTGACAGAAGGTTATATAGGCAGGCAGGGCTGGTTCCTGTAGCCCCGACCTCAGGCCGCTCCAGGCTCAACACAACTAACATGTAGACCTCTCACTCAGTGTTTGTGGACATACTGATCTGGGATCGGCTCACGAAGTTACCCCTCAGTCTGTTGCCGTTAATTGACTGAAGAAGGGAAAGTGTCCCCTGACCCGTGCACTACACATCTACGGAGAGTTTTGAAAACCAGTGAGTATTTTTTTCTAATCAATGTTAGGAATGTAGAATTCAAGGCTGGAGGTATTGTATCTACCGTCTGGTCTATTTGTGTGGATATTTTGTGATAAAAGAATGATATTGTAAAATGTAATTATACTAATCTGAGAATTGTGTTATCTGTACAGTCTTCAAACACTTCGATTGAATGAGCCTGATTTGCTGTATTGTTAATTTTTAATCAGGATTGATGCTGCAAAGATGGATGTTAACTCAATTTGGCTGCAGATCTCTTATTTTATATTTCAAAACTGTCTTAACAAACTGAAAATATTTTTTTATAGATTTGTTGATACTAGCACATTAGTACTTGTGGTTCAGTGATTTCACAGATTAACACATGTGGCAGTTTCTCTGATGTGCAGGCCATACAGATGTACAAAATGCACTGGACAGACTGAAGACATTAACATGGTGAAGGAGATACAACAATATGATCTGGTCAAAATGTGACATTTCCCATTAGTTAATGATTTGATAATGAATGATGATTGATTGCTTTTTTGCACGGATGATGCTTCTTCTACTCATTTACATAAAAGGTTGTATTGCACTTTTGTTTTATGGACGAGCACAGTTTGATCAATCCCTAAATCTCTTGTTCAGAAAGACATGCTTAGAGAATAATTCAACATTTTGGAAAAACACTTGCTCATTTGTTGTTTGCCAAAAGTGGATGAGTAGATTGATGCTACATGAGAAGGGTCAAACTTTTGGTAAAACAAAAAGGCATATTTTTCAAAATGTCTCTAACTTCAATAAATACAGATTTGGTTCTCTAATCTTTATATGTACACAGACTCAAACACCTAGTGTGTACATAGACACAAGCTATGTATAGAGGCTGTGTACTCAAAACAATATCAAGGGTGTCACATGTAAAGATGAACACAATTGGAGCTGAAAGATGTTGTATTTTTTGCTAGCTTGATAATTGTACAGTCAATTCTGTATCGTCACACATGACATCACTGCTGGATGGCGGTGAAGAAAATGTAAAAATGAAGAGTTATTCTGTGATTTCCTCTCTCAGCGATTGCTTTGAAGACTTTACTAGAGAGTTACTTAAATATATTGTGTTTAGAGGATTTTATAATTGAGAATAAGTTCTATTTTGAATGATAACAGAGAGCTCGTCTTAGGTTTTAATCAGTGCATTTCCAAATAACGTGACCTCAGCGTTTGATGGCGACTTGCCTACTGTAGTTGCCCTAGTTATATCATAGTGATAACGCAGTGATGAGAAGGTGTGGTCTGCCTCATATAGAAAGGAAATAAATAACCAAAGTGTATTTGGAGCGTGAACTGTAGACTAAAAAAACCTCTTCATCTTGCTTCCCTTTCTGGGAGGTTTCTAATGTAACCCCCCCCCCTCTCATGGTTCTCACTATATCCAACATGGTGAGATTTCTTAGCTTTATTTGTCATGCTTTTCTTTCTTTCTCATGGGTGCCATTATTCTTATGTTGTGTTTTCATACTGTTTGTATGCGTAATGAGTCGGATTTGAGTGCACATGCGGCACACATTTTCTCCTCATTCGATGCTGCTCAGTTTTAAGGTAAAATAAAGTAATGATGGGGAAATATGTCTTGCCTTGTCTAAACCGACTCTGCTCTGATGGGACTCACAGCTCTGTGAGACGGTTATGTTAATAGGACAAAGGTTATGAGACGCCACACAACAGCTTCCTGTTCTAGGAGGTCAAAGGTGATTCACCTGCCTTGACAACTTGTCTTTCTCCCCAAATACACGTGTATTCGGGTGTAACTGCAGAATCAACTGAGGTTTTACTTCTTTTTATTGTGTATTTTCTCCCTTGATTTGTACTTGTTAACATTGTCTTTAAATGACAAAGACACAATAATGAAAAAAGATGATAATAAAGTGGTTATTGTTGAAACTGGATATCCGCCTGCTTTATTTCTTAATGCTGAGCGGCTACAAGATGGGATGGCTTTAAACGACATTTCTCAGATTGTCTGCATTTGTCAAATTGTCTTTTTTTATGTAATCCATTGACTTCCAATTGATTTCAGTGCTTCTTACATTTTAAATGAATATCTTTCTATTTAAAGTCTCGATTTTTTCCCGTTATCTTCCATAACATGTGACCTAATAACTCCAATCAATGCAGCATTGAATTACTACCAGTGACGGAAAGCAACTAAGTATATGTACTCGAGTACATACAAGTTACTTAGGAAAAATCTTTAAAAAATATATAATTTGTTATTCTTTAAACTACACCCAACATTGTATTTAAGTATAACTAAAGCCATGAGTGGGTTAACAGTAAATTAATTGGCAGCAATTTGGATAAGTTGTTTTTTCACAATTCCAGCTTCTTAAATGTGAATTTGCTGCTTTTGCTTATTTAAAAAAAAATATTGCAATATCTTTTATTTTATTCTGCAATGAGTAGTCCTATTTATACACCCAATACTTTAATACTTTTACTTCCTATTCTCGATGCAGTTATTTTACTTGAAATGACAGTGTGGTATTAGTACTTTTACTCAAGTAAAGTATCTGAATACTTTTCCCGCGCACTGCTTAGACATACTACACTGGACAGTGCACGAGGAGCTGCAGTACAGGGCTACTTGGCAGAGCAGATTACTCTCATGTGGATTGGTGCCAGCACAGATAGTAAAACATGATTTTTAAATCAACTGTTGATCATGCTCATTTCCCCCCACAGCCAAATATAACAGACACAAGCTGAATCAAGCAGAGAGCTTGTTGCACCGTGGCTTTAGGAAGGCTAGTGCTCTTTCACTGCCATAGCGATAAAGTTCTCTCAGCTATATGAAAACTGACTCCCTGAGGTCTCTCCCACAACAAGCTGCCAGATTCTCCTCTCGAGTAACAAACACATAGCAGAGTAGCAAGCAGGCCCTGTCACACACACCATGAAACCAGGCGGTTATCAGTCTTTCATTTTCCCAAACATAGTCAAGTATTTTGAATTGAGACTAGTATACAAAACTCAGTGTAATGAAAATGTATTTATTGGTCGTTCCAGTAAGAAAACACATTGTAAAATAATTGTTTTCAAACAAGGCAAGGACAGTTTAACAAGACAGTTGTTCCATGGAAAATAGATGCTATCATTTTCTCTTCCGCTAGATGGAGATGTTGGTCAGGATTGAGCAAAAATGTTCTAAACCAAAAGTGAACAACAGCGGAGCAGACGGCCAGTAAACAACCACTATCATTTCATGAATCAAAAGGAAGTAGTGAAGTATGATGAGTAGAAACCAGCTTAAAAACAAGGAACCTTTGCCAAATGACTTCAAATTCTTCATCCTGTTCAATGTGGGGTAGAAAGCATGGATGTAAGCCACAGGGTTATAACAGTTTCCTTCATGAGGAAACATCAGTTCATCATTTTGAGAGGAAATAACATCAGTTTTTACCTGTATACCAGATGCTTTCCACCACCGCAGAACCAACCCCTCTACAGACCACTGAAATGAAACAGAAAAGAATTGCAGCAGAAGGGCACCAGAGAAAATAAAGTCAGGTTCACCCGGGCACAACAGAGAAAATTGTATTTCTCAACAATGTAATGAGAGCATGGAGTGAAGATCATTATCCTAGGAGTAAATGCAGCAATGTATCTTTGCCCATTATATTTACACAGAGGAAATGTTACAGTATGCCTTTCAAATACTCACCATCTAGAAAAGTCCCTGGCGCTCCAGGAGCCAACGACAACAGACACATCAGTGGTGATTTTCCCATCTGCAGTTCTCATATCATCTTTGGAGTTGTCGTTGTAGTTGCCACAGGCGCCGCACATTTGACCAGAGAGGCTACTGTCAATAATGACTGTGACCTCCTTTGAAAGTGAGTAGGTGAGCCGTACAGCAGATGCCTTCTCAATGATCACAGTCTTCTCTGAGATGTGGACAGATATGTCACTCGTCACTTTGCTGGGAAGAGACACTTTCCTGCCATTTACCTGGATGACATGGAGGATGGGAAAAAAACAAAGTGAGATTAAAAAAAGGTTTCTACACCAAAACTACTTTTCTGGTGAAACATTGAACTATTATCCTTCATGCTCTTCTCACCCAGGTCACATGTTGGCTGTTAACTGTGACAGCCGTTTCCTTAAAGAAAACATACAAGGTGTCGACAGTGCTGCAGGCCCTGGCATCCATAACCACGGAGAACCACATCTCGTTGGTCTCGTCACACAGAGACGCCTCTACAAATACCCCTTGAGCTCCCATCGCTCCAGACATGCCATCAAAGGAGGTGAGGAGGCCAACTTGGCTGATGCTGCAGTGGCCCTGTTTGACGTGGCAGCCCCTGACGCCATCTCTTACACCACAAACCTCTCCACTGGCACAGGTCAGCTTCTCACAGTTCACCACCCCAGAGGCCTGGCACACACACAACCACAACTTTTAGCAGGCACACAGACGCCAGCGCTGAGGACGTAACCCTTATCACAGACACAGGCCTCCACACAGGCACCAGGGCAGGGAGACTTCTGATCAGGGAATGGGCAGGATGGCTGGCATGGGCTGGTGCAGATTTCATAGTGGCTGTGACGCTGACAGCTCATTGCTGGATAGGAATATAATTATAAAAAGCATAAACCAAATATGAAAATCTTAAATAATTCATTGAAGTTTCCGAATAATATGTGCAAATGAGATGCTCGTTAATACTCACGGCAGCCAAACTTTTCCCTCCAGTCCTTGATTATTATTCCTTCCCCACGACACTGCCGACTGTACGAGGCCAAGGCCTGGCACAGCATCTTTTTGTCTCCCTTATTCAAACACATATCATACACACAGTTGTTCATGAAGGCCTGGGGGTCCAATTTTCCATGACATGGCTTAAACACGTTATTGGTCTTGGCTACAAGGCCCCCACAGAAAGCATCAGTCTCATAGAGCTTTTTCTGGTTGCCGTCACATGTAGGACAGTTTTTCTCACACGTGTCCCAGCAGGGAAGCTTCTCGTCCTTGTCTGGTGTTTGCCAGCTCTTGCCCCAATCTTTCACTGAAGAGACAGCTTTGCCGGCTGGATTCTGGAGCTCATCACCATTGTTACCGTTGAAGTTGCCACACAGACCACAGACACTGGTGTAGTAGCTGCTGGGCAGCTTGATGACCAGCTCCGAGTTCCAGTCGTAGGAGACGGACAAACCAAAGTCTGTCTCTATCACTGCAGTGTGACCACGCTGAGACACTGACACCTTACCCTGTTCCTCGCCCAGCTGTACAGGAAGGTTCAGCAGCACCCCGTCCACCTGAAGGGAATGGATCAAAATAATATAAATAATGTACACAATGAAATACTACAGATCAAACGCATCAGAAGAATAAAATCTTACCATGACCCGACCAACTTGGTTCTTGAGGAGAATGATGTTGTACCCATACACAGAAACGTCAACCTCCCTGACAAAAGAAACTGCAGTGTTTCCACGATTATCATTCCTCTCAGTGACCGAGAACGGCACTAGACCATCCAGGTTCCCGCAAGTCTTGGAAATGACGTACTTGCAAGTGCCTTGGAAGTTAAAGTTAAAACCATCAAATGTGTGGTAGTGGGGGTCCCCCAAAGCCCAGCATGTGCCTGTGGCCTCTGGGACGCACACAGCTTCACCATTCTCAACACGGCACTTCTCTTTGACTTGACACTTGGCAGCTTTGCAGGGATCTACACAAGATAAAAGCAATGTCAAATTAACTTTAAACTGACAGGGAAATACTCAGTTTCGAATGTTCGCCCATCAAAAAGAGCGGTAATGGGGGTCACCAGAGGCGTGGCACAAACCCTTACCAACAGGATGACATTTTTGCACGCCATCCTCCACTTCCAACTTCTCACACACAACCTAAAAAGAACAGTTGAGAAAAATTAGTATTAAATTAATTTCCATCGTGCAAATTAACACTGATCAGTATCAAGTTATTATTAAATCACATTGACCAGCTGGCACTCTCTGATGCACTCAATGCGTCGGCTTCCAGCAACGGGTCTGCTTCCAGCATTGCATTTACACCTCCTCCGACATGTGATTAATCCTAAAAAAGCAAAAAACACAGTTTGTTTATTTGAAGATCCATTAAGTTAGAATTACTTAATGTCGTGCCAAAAAACGTCAGATTATTGTTGTAGTGTCATCTGTGTTTGTTACAAGCAATCAGAGATGGAAGAAGTACTTAGCTCTTTTAATTAAGTAAAAGTAGGAATACCATGATGTAGGAATACTCATACATAAAAGTACTCTTTAGGCAGATGGGCCCATTCTAGAATAATAAATACAAGTTTTGATTACAATAATTGATGCCAAAATGTGTATAGCAAAGCTGGTAAAAGGTGCAGCTAGTTTTAATGACTTTGTATACTTATATTTCACATAATTAATCAAAATCTTAAAAGTAATTAAAAGGTATTACATAAATATAGTAGAGTAAAAGTACACCATTAACCAATGAATTGTAGTGAGGTTTAAGTAACGTAAAAGAAAATTAAGTACAAGTTCCTCTAAATTGTACACAAGTAAACTAGCTAGCCTACTTTACAGCACTGCAAGCACTGATGTATTTTAAATATAATCACATCCCAATGAAGACCACAGAACATTTCTCAAGACATTACCAACCATAATTCCCTTTAGCAATGCATGGATTAGTATCTTTTGTTATTACAAGGGCAGAGACATAGCCATACCCAACTCATCACTCAAAACTAGACAAAGAAAGGGTAGACAGCAGCACTGTGTTGAGATTTGAGTGTTTCATGTGAAAGAGGAATAACCTATAGCAAGTGTGCTGCAAATATTGAGAGAAGTGATACAAGTAAAACATGAACATAGCAGAGTGAAGAAAGCACATACATGCTGGGAAAAACTCAGGTTAAACCCATTGTGCAAATAAACGATGACTAGATTGTAAACACGTGTGTACCTACAAACAATAGCCCAGTCATGGTACCTACAAACAAATGCCCAGTCATGTCACTTACCAAGTCCCAGCAGGCACACCTGGAGCAGCAGCAAAAACTGCATTACTGCACAGAAAAGGGACAATCTTACAAGAATTAAACAACTATAGCAATTCGTTTTTCACGATAGGAAAAACACAATTCGAATGTTAGGGATGAGCTAGCGCCACACTGCTAGCAACGAGGGAAAGGTGGTTAAGATAGCCTGGTAGCCAATCAATGAAAACGGGTTGACGTCACCACTTGGACTAATTGCAACCGCCAGGTGATCTGCATTATCATTAAATAGCAACATGTTGTGGCGTTGTTTTGTTTTTTATCATTTCAATTATTAGGTATCTTTTTTATGTTTTACTCCGGTTCAAATAAAAACACATACCCATCATTACTAAATGTCATCCTAAATCGTTACATTATTTGGCACATATGACTGCTTCAGTGTTATCGTGCCCCATCACCATCATCTGAGCTGTATCTCAGCAGTTTTCATGAAATTGTCGTGACAGCAGTTCTCACACAGACACATGGAGGTTTTTTCCGCAGAAGCAACAACAACTTGACTGAGAAACTTTAAGGGGCAGTTCAGCGCTTTGTGAGGTGGCTGTGAATCCCCTTGTAGGCTAAGTGAGAATAGAGTTTCCCTGAAGTACACACAGCAGCAGACAGCTTTTCCTGTTAACGACTCTGCTCCGTTCAGTGCAGAGAGATCATCTCTTCGACTGACTAATACTGTAGCTGTGGTGAGTGTGTGTCAAATGTTGTGCAGAGCTGCAGAAATGCCACTCAATATTATTTGGAAACGTATATTCTCTAAACGGAATAACGTAACACATTTTACAATACAACCTGTATTATTTTAATTGTTGTCAACTCTTGGCTGCAACTAATGTAACATACAACCAGCAATATTGACTTTTATCACATTGGTGTGGAGGACACACCGTAACTTTCCCGCGGTGTGTTCACTGTCCTGCGCGGTTCGTCGCGAGCACAGACTGTTTAAGGTCGCGAGCTGTTTGAACGTTTCCAGGACAACCTTCTGAAGCTCCCGTCACTCAGGACTCAGCGCTGTGAGCTTCAGCAGGGAGTCAAGTTCAGAGGAGATTTCAATCTTATACCCTAAAGTACGTGAGTAATGTGCATGTTTATTAGTAAACTGGTGGCGGTATGATTTGGAATTGAAGATGTGATATTGTTGTCTTCGTTTAGTAGCTCCATGCAAATGAAATCATTCGTGAGTTTCTGTGTCTTCTGTGAATCAGATTAACTGTGTGTTGATGTTAGTGGTGTTTAATAACTTGAGATAGGCTACTTGACACATTGCCGATATATGGCACTTCCAGAGGTGTAAAGTAACCAAGTATTTACTAAGTACTAACTTAAGTACAATTTTGAGAGACTTGTATTTTTTTCCATTATTTCCATTGTTTGCTACTTTATACTTCAACACTACAGAGCTACATTTCACTGATTTACAGATTTTGATTAATAATGTGAAATATAATCAACACTTAAATTAGACTTTAGTTAGTTAACATAATTAGTTAAATTCAAAACTAGCTGCACATTTACCTGTTTTGATAAAACACATTATTGCATCAATAATTGTAATCAAAACATATAATGAATCTGAAAGCGGGTCGATCCGCATAATGAGTACTTTTACTTATCTGTGAGTATATTATGATGCTAATACTTTTGTTCTTTTACTTGAGTAACTTTTGATTGCAGGACTGTAACTTGTGCTTGGAGTATATTTCCTACACTCACTTTAACTTAAGTACAACATCTGAGTACTTCTTCCTCCACTAGGCATTTCAGTCATAAACATTTTAGAGGAAAACTCCAGCATTAGCTACAATATTAGAGCACAATGACTTGTACCTGTCCTTCATGTTTATTTTGGGCAGTGGGAGGGACAGGAAGGAATTTATAGTCTTCTTAGTGAAAGGCAGTGAGTTTGGCTTGCTAAGCTGAATTGTCTTGGTTCCCTGGACAACTGAGCAGCATACACCCCCCCCCTGCCCAACCTTAACCAGCGGTGGACACTGCTGGACATTTTGTGTTCAGTGACTGAGTGTTTGCATTTTTGTCTGTAGCAACAAGACATGGCTGACAGAGATAGTGACGGACCGGGAAGAGATGCAGAGGAAACAGATGAGCTTTTTTCCACAGGTTTTATTAGCAGTACATCTTTACCTTTATCAATATATCACCTTATTGGAAGTTTGCACTCACTGTTGACCCTTTCGTCTGCCCTTACTTACAGATCTGAATGACAACAGCTGTGAGTCTGGACGGGACTCTCCTCCTCTGAAACTGGACCAGTGTGACCTCCTCTTAGATGCTCTGGACGCTCAGCTTGGTCAACTGCAGGTCTGATTCCCCTGAATGTTTCTGCTTTTCTGTAACACATGTAATCTGGATACAAATATTTAAAGAAGTAAGTGTTATTAATTCCTACAGATCCAGCCAACGAAACATCTGGCAATTTCCAGAGAGCGTGATTGCAACGATGATGCGGGTAATGTCATCAACGAACTCCTTATGCCTGATTTAGAGATTTTTGTTCAGGTAATTATCTGTTTGTTTGTTCTCTAGATCCTCTGAGGTGGAGTTATTCTCTGAGCAAAGACACTGGGCTTGGGAGTACAACTCAAACAAACGACACTCCCATGTCTTGTCTTGATTTGATACAAACTCCAACGAAAGACCCAACTTCAGGTAAAATGTCATTACTAGTAGCATCGTTATAGACAAACAATTGCTTATGTTCTTTAGCAAGATTCTTCTAAATAACTACTGCTTATCATGAGGGGTTTTGTCATTAACTGTGTCCTTGAATTATGAATAAAATGTTGAAACCGTTCATTAGAGTAAGCCAGGTGTCTTAATTGGGTTTTTTAAATACTTTTTTTATATACTTCTTTGCAGCATGTTATATATTTTTTTGTTGCATATTATACTTTTATTTTTTTATTCCATAACTTTAAAGCATTCTATACCAGGGCTTTCAAAGTTTTGATGACTGCCAATTAAAGCAGCCAATATATGATTTGGGGGTGCACAGGAAAAGTGCTCACATAAAAAAAGTACGCATTGGTCACAGTGGTGTATGAAATCTTTAAAAAGTAAAACTATTGAAATGAACCGCAAATTATTAAGAAACATAATCTATCTATGTAATGTCACATTCAGGGTTGGCACAAAATGTGTGTAAGGGCCCGCTGGCCTTCACTTTGAGAAACAACGTTTTACATAAAATAATAACCTCTTAAATGCACGAGAACACTTTCTTTCTTTACTCAAAAGCACCCTGTCTCCTCTGCTCTTCCCCCAGCGAGGGGCTCAGGCTGTCGGGAAGGTCCTACTATTCAGAAAGTAGACAGAAGGACAAGAGACAAAGAGGAAATGGAGTCTCAGAGGGAGCAGGTCCTCTGGAGGCTGGAGAGGCTGCTGGGAGACACCTGTAACGAGGGGGGGATGGAAGCAGAAATCCTCCCTCCTTCAGACAGCATCTGCACCGAGGACTTTGTCAGCCGCTTCAGAGACGAGATGGTGGAATTGACATTTCCAGAGAGTTATATAGAGAAACTAGACGGAGAGGAAGTGACTAAGAGGACAGAGATATCTGACTGTCAGCGTGAACACTTTATACTTAATGTTGACAGAAGAGGAACAGCACTGACAGGGAAGAGCACTGAAAACACAGAGAGTGCTCACGACTGTCAGAGTGAGGAGAAATGTGTTTATAATAGCCACGGAGTAAACACATCAAGCAGGAGGAAAGCAGGAGAGAGATACAACTCACCACAGAGGCACGGTGATGATAGCAGCCGTGAGTACTCTCTTTACAAACTCTTTATGGTGCCCAGGGGATTCATTTCAACTCACACAACTTTTCCCTTCCTACATCTCATGGGTATATTACTTGGAAATGTAATGAGCTAGTATTACCCTCAGAGGACACCTTTTCATTTTGGACATGATCTTTCGCAGTACCCTTATCCCAGAATGTCACATTTACACACATAAATAAACTAATTATAATGAAAGCACATTCATGCAAGGGAGTGGACTTTTTGATTTGAATCGCCCCCATGGCCTTTGCTGGAGTCCTATTCAAAGAAATGCTTAACAACTGTATCACCAAGAGAACTACTATGCTTTGTACCATCACTTTTGTATTGTGTCTACAGCATATCTTAGACTTTTATTATTTACTTTTCATTTGTATGTGCCCTTTACAGATTCAGTCTCTCACAGAACAGAGGTTGTAACAGGTCATGAAGTCACACAGCTCAACAACAGCTGTTCTCCTAAGGCCAGGTGTTTGGCAGGTACCACACACAGATAACATCCTGGACCGGACATGCACACACTGTGAAGCTAATCCTCTCGGGAATGTATTCACTTCAAACAGTGACAGTTGTCGGCTTGTTTCTCTTGCAGGAGTTCCTGTGTGGAGTTTTGACACCGTGTCCATTGACAGTGACCTGGACTCAGTGTGCACGGAGCAGGTCAGAAACCACATCCACAGGCGGCCAGGTGAGAGACTGCAGAGACTGTGGATGGATGCAAGTCATATTTTAAAATGACAAAACATGTTTAACTAAGGCAACTTAATCAGGGTGTCCGCGGGGTCTTAAAAAGTATTCAAAGTTGATAAATCAATTTAGCGAAAATGAAGGCTATTAAAAAGTATTAAACGGCATTTTCCAAGGTATTACATTTTGTAGCTTGTTTTCAATAAGTATATAAATTGTCCAAAGAGGTTGTATTCTACAGTTTGCCTGAATGTAATCATTGCGTAGGTGTGTAGTGTGATTCTGTGTAGTTTATTTATGGCATCCCGTTGGATTTGACGTCATCTGAACAGGACATCGCACGCTCACTGCTTGATAGCGCAAGAAGGTCCGTTTACGCCGGTAGACAATCATCACCTGCCCCAACGACTACCGCCCAGTAGCACTCACCTCCATCATAATGAAGTGCTTTGAGCGGTTAGTCAAATTATTCATCACCTCCTCCCTCCCTGAATCTCTGGACCCCCTGCAGTTTGCCTACAGAGCAAACAGGTCCACAGACGACGCCATAGCCCTCACCCTCCACACTGCCCTCTCACACCTGGACCCGAAGAAGAGGAACACATATGTGAGAATGCTGTTCATTGACTACAGTTCAGCATTCAACACCATTGTGCCCTCCAAGCTGGCCATCAAGCTCAGAGACCTCG